TTCTTTATTTTAAATAATATTATTTGTGAAATATTCTCCGACATATTCCTGCGACGTTCATGCGGTCGCCAATACGAGTTCGGCTGTTGCAATGGCTGGTATGTGGGGGTCAGACACTTCTTTCGCAATGAAATAAATATTTATTTTCTTCAGTTTTCTCTTCCATATAGGATGGTTATAACCGTTGCTATTCATTCTGCTTTACAAAGGTGGTTCTCATCATTGTTGTTCGAATTTTACTTTTTACTACAGGCCTACGACAAGTACACTGAGTTGCCTATCCTGCTGCAGGTAAGATCTTAGTTGTGTTCTTTTCAGTTGCGACGGTGGTTCGATTCCTGAGTGGAAGTGAATGAGATAATCATATGTACATGAGTGGTAGTCGAAATGATTGATTAGACGATTTCAGATTGTCCTTTGTCAACCTCATAGGAAGTATAGAAAGTAGAAATCATTATGAAATTATGTTTGAGGTTAGCATAACAACAGGGCAATTAGGTTGATTGAGAATTCGTTTCAGATTGTTTCATAACGGATGTTCGGCTTTGTCCTTCCGGTTTCTCATCATCCAATTCGAATCTGTANTGGCATCAGCATCACTTGACGGCTTGTTTTGCGTGATCACATTTCATTCTGAATCCGACTGTTCGAAACATTCACAGATCAAGTTATAGTAACCAGGACAACTGATAAATCGAATGCAGTGGAAGCCATCGGTGGTCCTATAGGAAAACAGGCATATGCAAGCTCAGAAGGAACACAAAGATATTCAGATAAATTGGTTTTGAGAAAGTAAAGGAGAATAGTTGCAGCTGTCACCTGTTGATTTTCGAATAGATTCCAGACGCTATTTTCATCAGAATAGTTAGGCTGTGGAGAACGCGGCTCCTTTGAAAGCCAATTGAACTTCATCGTTGTCATGTTTGTTGATGACTCCTATCTATACAATCATGAGTTGCCCAATCATGAAACATATATGATGATTCACAACACTCTGTTCATTTGTAATTGTGCTGCTTACGGTCTTAGTTATCTGATCATCTACTTGTCACCTCCAAGTAAGGAGTCTCACTACTACAAGATATTGATGCACGCTCAAGGAGTAAGTTAGTCGTTTCCGTTCTCTTTCAGTTGTACCTTGCAGGCTTTGCTATTCCTGTTCTCTATCTTATGGTCTCTACTTCTAAAGATCATAACTCACATGAATTATGATTTCTTCTACTGTGAAGGATACTGTTACCTGATTGGCCTAACATGTGCAAACGGCTTCACAATCCTTGGCTTTGTCTTCGGAACTTATGGTTTTGCTATTATTGGTAGCTACTTGTTCCGGTTGTACCTGATAGTCGATCATACTCACTTCCTTAGGGTAAGTGTGTGTCAGAGTTTCAGCTTCATCTCTTCTGCTTCTTCCAGACACCTCATCTGTTTCCTATTATCTGTGTTGTTGTTGAATTCTTTTTTTCTTTCGTAACATCAGTAACATTCCAAATTGGATATAGCGAGTTTGAGCCGAATAGCCTTCCGTTCAATGTGAGTTCACCGAGAGATACGTCATCCTTTCATATGAAGTGGTTTCAGCTTTCACTGGAGCAACTGGACTACATGTCAACGAGGACAGTGGGATCTTATAAAATGAAGACGATGAAAGAAATATTCTTCCCGGTATATTTCGTTTTATCGGTTCTGCTAGTTGTAGTAGTAAGCTGATCTCAGTCTCATGCTGAGTAGACGTCTCTGAACCTCATCCATGACTTTCAGTTGATTGTATTAACTGCAGTTGAGATCGTTCGCACTATCCATAAGAAACAAAGCCTTATGTCTACCGGAACATCCAATCATCATCTGAAAGTGCTGAAGGTTTTAACGATCCAGGTAATCCCTGTT